AAAATTCAAATAAGCTTCCAATTCCTCCAAAAAACCATCGATTAATGCCGATGATAAATTACCTAAATGCTGCAGTTCGACTAATTACCAGGTTTAAGAAAACCTCTAGAATAGTTAATAGCGGTATTACCCATAGAATAGTTGAAAAAACCGTTCGTGAAACTACTTCAAGGAACTTATTCAAGAGCACCCTATTTCCTGGCCCAGCTTTTGGATGTTTGAGAGCTTCCGGTGCCGTTCTATAGAGAGTGGATTCAACAATCATTTATTCGGCAAATTAAAAAAGTTAGGAAGTGAAAATGATAGTTTTACTTTTAAGTTTTTTTTTCTTTTTTCTAAGGGATCGGATTTACTCATCATTGCCGTCATCGTATTCGTACGCTTCATCCGAAGAGAACGGCTCGTTCACATTACGCCAAGTGCGGATTCGAGTCTTGCCAGTTGACGAAGCGGATAGAGTGCCGCACTCATCGTTCATGCTCATCTTCTCCAGCCTCCATAACTCAGCCAGGGATGGATCTTGGCACCTTTCCAATTTCTTTGAGGTGACGTTGACGAAATTGACGACGTCCTGGCAGTCATTTGCATTGATGATTTCTCCGTATTCTTCGGACTCCACGTCGGACACGGCTGATTTCTTGGCTTTTTCCGCTTCCACCTCCTCGAGCAACTTTCGGCCCGGCTCCAAATGCAAGTAAAGCGACTCGCCGCAGATATGGCAATCATTCCGCATGTCCATCGTGTAGTAGCATTCGGGGCAGAGCACGCTTGAGCATGAGATAACCAGTCTGTTCTTTACTGGTCCGAGTGATTTTTCGCATCGAGTACATGTGGGGTCCAAGGTCAGTTCTGTCTTCAAGCTCTTTTCGATCCTCTGGACGGCATTGGCCACTTTCTGAACATAGTTCTGATAGACGGTGGCCAGTCGCGTTGAGGATTTATACGCGGCCGGCTGACTATTCGAACACGACTCCTTCCCGCAGCACTGAAAAGACGGTTTCTAATTGAATTAATAGACAAAAACTTACATTAGTTGTCTGGGGCAGGTGGGTATAGTAGTAGCGGTGGCCAGTGTGCAAGCAAGAGAAAACATGCATTGCCCCCATGTATAAATTCAGCTCGGCACCGGGGCGGTAGATACACCCTTGACATTTCCATTTGGACTCTAAGGGCCCAACGGCGATCCATCCATCACTAGTCCTCTTAATATTTGGCTGTTCAAGTAAATCATTCACGAAAGTGAACGGCACTATGCAGTGCGTCGGATCACTGCACGACGCGCACGTGAAAACCCTTCCGTTATCGACCATCGGGACTCGAAAAAGCCCTGCACGATCGTAGGGCTGCAAGCATTTCGGGCAGTTGAAGCAGCTGAGGAGCATCTGGAAAAGGTGCTTTAGAATGAAACTAGCACCGCGACTAAAAGAAAGGTGATAAAAATGTGATCACCAACTGAGAAAGATCTGCTATCATAATGCCGAAATTTACAATGCCGAAATGTCATAACGTCGAACTAGAATGTCGGCAATTTTTTTAGGAATCGGGGAATTGTCCAGAAATTCGCTTATGCAAATTTCAACATCAAGAAATTTCGATATGCTGCAATTTTGCCAACATAACTTTCGACATTATGAAAGTTCAATATTACAAAATTTTGACATAAGGAACTTCGACATCATGGTTTTTGACATTATGAAAGTAACCCGCTGAGAACTATATTAAAACCAGCCGATTACAGCCGCTTCGCGACTGTAATCGGCTGGCCTTCGGGCTACCCTCCATATTCTACACTACCACCTACGTCGATCGCTTCAGATACCTCCTATAGCCAACCCCCTTAGATACCTAAACGACTTATATACCTTCCTGATGGCTTCAGATACTCCCCATGGCTGAAATCCCGTTCAAAAACTACCTAAATACCTTCCTGATGTGTTTAGATACTTTAAATGATTTAAATAATGAATTAAAATAGAAAAAGGTATCAAAAAGTATTAAAATAACTGAAAAAAGCGATCTGGGGGACGGAAGGCCCTGGGGAAGAGGGGCGAAGGGAAAGGGGGCGTGGCCTCCGGGGAGAGGGGCCCACTCGTCTTATTAAGACGCCACTTTCAAAGTTGATTATTTTTATTTAAACAAAAACTTTTTGATAATGTTTTCATTATTTTTGGGATTTCTGACCGTGTCCTATCCGAATCCGAAGAGAGCTAAGCTCTAGCTCCTTTCCCCTTCGAGTTATAGTTGGCTTCAGACAGACGGACACCACAACAAAATTATTATAGTTGATTAGAATAGAGAAGGCTAGAGAAAGCTCCATTTTTAAACATCAGATCGAAGAGCTGAGGACGTAGAGATTTTTTGAGATCGGTATTAGAGTCAAGGTGAAGCTTAGGAATGAGGGAAGCTTGGGAATGTGGGAAGCTTGGGAATGAGGGAAATGAAAGACAGTCCTCCGGTGGAAAGCCGATACGAATGGGTTGTTGACCTTGCTCGGTTCTACACTTTTGAGCCAAGCAGAGGTCACCGATACTCCCGCCAATTTTATTAATGCATTATATCAAACGCGGGATGCGGATAGTGCGCTCTCGTTTGAAATTTGAACGTATCCCTCTCTTGATTTGAGATTTGAACGAACGGTTGCCTCTCAATTTGTTAGACGCATGAAGGCAAGAGTCACTCGTAAACGCAAATTTTCAATCCAAGGTAATTTCAAACCTTTCGTAAAAAGAAGTTGCGAGTATCTAAAACGGGATAAGCGCCATGAACGGTTTTCTATGCAAAAGAATCTGAGTTTGTATTCAATTCACATTTTTTTCGTGCGAGCAAAATATTCAGTGTAACTTTCACATTTGCGGGTATAATTCTTTATCAACGAAAACAGCTGAGCAAATAAATCAGTGGCTTCTTCTTTTAGCTGGTCGGCTTTTCAAATTAATGTCCAATCGGATGGGTGATTTCCGTTTCCATTCCCAGCAACTTTTCCGGGTTTGTCATTTGAGGTTGGCTCATTTTGACCGGAAGACGGGTTTGATCCAATCGCTAGCGTGATATCTTGGCATCCATAATCCTTGGAACTCTCCGTTGCGATCCTTTCAGCTTCCGCCTTCTCAAGCAGCTCCCGGCCCGGCTTCAGATGCAGCCGAAGCGCCTCGCCGCATAAATGGCAGTCATTGTGCATCTCGGTGCTGTAGTAACACTCGGGGCAGAGCACGCTTGAGCACGAGATGACCAGCCTGTTCTTCACCGCTCCTAGTGACTTTTCGCAGCGAGTACACTTTGAGTCCAAGTTCAGCTCATTCTTCAAACTTTCCTCAACTTTCATGACAGCCTCTTGTACGGCTTGCACGTAATTATCGTAAGTTGCGGCAATGAGTGTCGTGGCGATCGGGTGGGCTCCGAGGGGCCCCGGCAGCAGCCGACCAAGCGCCACCCAACCCTCTTTGGTCCTCTTGACATTCGGTTGATTCAATCGCTGCCACAACCAGGAGTTGACGGGTAGATAGCATGGATTCGGGTAGCTGCACATTTGACAGGCCAGCGACCTGCCGGTCTCGTGCATCGGTGTACGCATTAGTTGGCGTAGGTCGTACGGGCGCAGGCATTTCGGACAGTTGAAGCACTCGAGCAGCATCTGGAATTATTGACTATTGGTTGAAGCAGCGGAGATGTAAACGTTCTGAGAATTTAAGAGTGCCATAAATTGCGAAAACGTTTAAAAAGGGCCATCCGCGAGTCAGCCGAACAGTCCCCGGTATGGCTTGTCACAGTTTTTTCGACCCCGTTTTTTTCGATGCCATGTGAAAGACGATGGCCGAATTAGTAGAGCGGCGTGGTCTTGAAAGTGTAAAAAAATTATTTTTGGAGTTTAATGGCCGTTAAAGTTGCCTTTAGAAGACGGAAATGGCGATAGGCCTATGTTTACAGGAATTAAAAGAATAAAAATAAAAATGATGTAAGCTACCAACAGCCACGATGTTGCTAGGGGCAGATTAAAAAGCTTGTGACGTGGTCACGGAAAGTAAATAGATAGTTAGAGGCGTTAAAGCGGAAAGTTAGAGTCGTATTATTTGACCATCTGGTAACGTTGTGTGTGTTATTATTGCGTTCAAAATTTATAATAAGGCAGAGGTCACAACCGAACGCGCGCCATTTTGGGTGATGCACTATGGGGTACCTCCCTATAAAGGGTTCGCCCACTTTACCATTTCGAAACAGCCGTTTTTTTTGGTTAGCGGTTGCCTATCAGAACTGGTGCGAGTAAAATTAAGCGATTAATCAATTAGTCTATTTCGGCACTGATATAAATAAAAAATAAAAAATCAATTTTAAAGATTTTTGGAAATTCGTCGTGGGCTAAAATGGTGTAACTAAAAGCCCTATCCGGCGCTTACCTACGAGTTGTGTTTTAATTGGCCCATCATGTACGGTAATACTGTATGTTACTGTCGTTTCGTATTAAAAAGTAACCGTTTTCAATTACTGCTTTCAGTAGCTGCCGCTGCAACACAGGCCGCCCCACCGACGATCGTTTGGCCGTGGGCACTCCAAAAAGCGATGAGAAATCATGATATTGCCAATGGTTTATTACAAGCTACTCTACAATAGTTAGGATTGAAACGGATTATATAATATCTACATCAATTGCTCAGGGATTGCTAAATAAGCCTACTTACAATCAAATCATATTTTTTCTGACTCACATATGAACAAAAACACTATATCAGATAAATACAAAGAGGGGTTTTTTCTAAATTCAAAAATTAATAAGAGATCAAATGGGTAAGTCTAGGATACTGATTACGCCAGGGATTGTCGATTTCTGAGAGAAAAATGTAGACGATTAAGATATTATACAACCAAAATTGACTGCTAATCAAAACCGATAAATACGAACGATTAAATTAGCGATATGGCAAGCTTAAACAATGGAATGTTTCTACAGAAACTCCAAATATATGTAAATTAGAAAACTATATACATTCAGAAATAGCGATAGATTAGGGTTTGTACGGGATTTTCGGAGTCAGAGTGTAGCTACCTCGGCCGACACCCGGATCCACGAAGAGCTGGCCTGAAAAATAATTTTTTACACCCGAAAAATAATTGTTTTCACACCTAAAACCTTATGCGAGTGGGCCCAATCCTCCAAGGGTCTCTGCTAGCCTGCTCTCTTCAAAAACACCCACCATTGCCCGCAATCACCGCCGGCTTCTGGCTCAACTTTGGGCAGGCACCATACCATTCACGGTGCTCTTCGAAGCTGAAAAAAGGGTAATCAAGGTCCAAAATTTTCCCCATACTCTATTTTGGTAATGGCAGCATCAGAGCACGTCAAATCAGCCGTGTACAGTACATAGCGTCGCTGGCCAACTCGGAACAGGCCAGCGGCCGGGTTTTGGTGGGAGGGTAGGAGGTGAGGCTCGTAGAAGCGGAGGACTAAAATTATTTCTGTAACTTTTGCCACGTATCTAGCCACTATATTCTTTTCAAATTTTTTGCTTGGTTACGGTTTTTTGACCCTGCGGCGCCAAATACTATATTTTCTGATCTGTTTGAGCTTGTGGTACTAGCCAATAATTGTAATTCCTTGCTTTTTGGGTCTGCGCCCATTAGAATTGATCATTAATGGGCCTCAAATCTTCATTAAGGCATTTTAAAAAACTGCTTACCCCGCAGCCGAGCCCTGGCCATAATCGTCTCCAAAACATCCATACGATCGGCCGGCTCAAGTGTTGTGTCCTGTTCCGGCCGGAGGAATTTGATCTGGAAGATGTAGTATTGATTGATCCTCACTTACTATTTGGTTTTTGGGGGATGTTAGTAGTTAATAAATAGTCTATTACCCATTCTAACAAAAAATACCAACCATTAAGGGTGCTGAAGTGGCAACCCCAGCGATATCGACTCTTCTATCGTCTGGCTGGTTAGCGGCGTAGTGTACTTTATAGAGCATCCTCTGCAGTCCTTGGATCTCTAGTGCCAGGTCGTGGCGGCGGAGAATGACACGGTGCAGATCGAACTAAAAAAAATCTCTGCTTAATACGATATACTACGACTTTGTATCTCATCTTCTTCAAAATGTTCGGGAATTTCACTTTGAAAGTTAATTTTTGGCCCAAGCAAAGCAAGCTAATTCACCATTTCCATATCCACAGGTGCGATGCGTTCCTCGTCACCCCGTTTCCACTCGTAGTCGTCGATTCGGTTTTTCCTAGCGTGAGCAAAAAGGTTAAAATCTCTCAAATTAACTACCATTCATACAAAAGCGCCGAAATTTCGGTCATGGCCTCGTCAGCAATCGAGAATAGTAGTTTTTGAATCTCCGAGTAGTGGTCGTCAATACTAAATTGTGAAAATCTATAAACCAAGTTGTCAATCAAACATTTCGCTCCGTTGCAGTCGTGTTGAAAATCCGATCGCAAAGATTCTCAGTTTTTCGTCTTGATCTTTAGCCCAATCTATGTTCATCACCGTTGTTATGGGCAGGCCGCTCAGCTGAAATTTTCGAATGTTATGTGGTTTTGGTTGCTAGGTAACTTAAGCGTTTTTAACTACTATTTTAACCGTTAACTAACTACGATGTTTTCGTCTTACTGTAGCTTTGATGGTACGGTATTGTAAAAAAACAGGGCCAACAACTCACCGGGCACTGCTCCCAGTGCCACTGGAAATCCAGGTCGTCTAGCGAATAATGGAGGATGTGGGCCAGTTTGTGGGACTGAAAATAGGGTATGAATATTCTGAAAACGAGTGTTTTTATACCTGTCTCGCATCCGTGACTGCTCCGTTCTGTCCGCCAATTAGAAGAAGTCTCCCAGGTGTTAGAGGGATGAATGTAGACAGGATGGAAGAATCCGGTGGCGTCCTAAACACATGGGTTGCGGTAAGTACTTCCGAATTGATCCAAAAATAAAGCCTGCTATTCGAGCTTATAATGAGAAATTTACAACTTACCCAGCTATTACCGGCTTGCGCCAACATGGATTACGTTCGAGCCGCAGAACGTAGACGTCCTGATTTGGGGACGGAGGCTCACCTCGTTTATACCCTGTAATGCAACAACTACGTCACACCTCAACGTGTAAAATTCAACGCACTTACGATACGAAACCGATTACGCTATCAATTGAGAAAGAGCTGATATGATCCTTGCTGCAACATACCTGACATCAGCACCAAGTGATCCTGGACGATGATCTGGGCATGAACTTGTAAAGTAGGAGCAGCTTGGTCCAACGGTCCCGCCACGATCTGAAAGTTTCCAATTTCATGGCAAATTTGCTACTAAGAATCTGAGCTGATGACACTCACCGCTTCCCATCGATCCCCTTCCGCATTTTCGTGGTAAATGTGAGCAGCGGCCACATTCGACTGTAAGGCCGCCATTCTGCCGCCGTGCTGACCGCCAAAGAACACCAGTTTCCCATCTTTCCAATACGACGGTTTGCTGCCTTTTTCCGGTCGGGAGCCGGTTGGTACCCAAGGCAATGGCTGACGTTGCCAGAGGCCGATGTGCTGAAAAAAAGACAGAAAGTTTTCTTAGTCAAACGTTTAAAAGAAAGTAATGTCTCTTTTTCTTTTCTTTTCTTTTGAACGTCTTTTCGAAGATGAATTTTGGGAATGTTAGGAATTTATAAAAAGTATACTACATACAGTATCCGAAAATCTTGGGAGTTGTCCCTTGGACAGTAGAATTACACGGTTTTCATGTGAGCTCATTAGCGCAAAGGTTTTCCTTTTCTCAATTCCTTAGCGGTTCTTTATTTTCAAAGAGAACTTTCTTTCTAAAAAGTAATTTTTGTCATGGTAGGAATCTATGAAAAGCTGATTACATACAGTATCCTTAAATGCCACAGAATTGTCCTCTGGGAATATTACGTCAGTCAGATTTTCACGTGAGCTCATTAGGGCAGAGTAGAGATGTTTTTATTCAGATACGATATGGGAAATTTTGCATTTAAGGCAATTTGCATATCGTATCTAGGTTCAAGCCGGGGCAATCGAGATACGATTATCACATCTGGGATCGGTGAGGCTCAATCCAGATGCGATATATCGGAATAACATTTGCATATCGGAATAAGCAGAAATCCGTCATTCCCGTGATAATACTTGCTCTGTACGGTCAGTCAGCATAAAAAAGCATAAGGTTAGGCGCTTCCGACACAAGATTTTTCGATTTGCATCCATTTTATCGCCTACCGAGCGCCCTAATTTCCCTTAATCCGATATGCAAAAGTTATTCCGTTAGTATCGTATCTCCATGAGCCAGATTCCAATTCAGATGCGATTATCTCTATCGCATCTAGGATTTTTCAATTCCGATGGCTTATTCAGATGCGATATATCAGGATGCATATCGTATCTGAATAAAAACATCTCTAGGGCAGAGGCATCGCATTTTTTTCAGCCACTAATTGTTTTCGTCATTCAATTCCCTAGCGTTTCCTCTGTTTTTGTTTTTAAATTTTTCAAAAACCCTACCGTATCAAACACATTCATGTTCCAGCTGTCAACGCCACCCTGCCCGATTGACGTCCCGTAGCTGTAGATACAGTTCGAGAATGGCGAGTAGGCCATCGGGTTCGAGTGCAGGTTGCCGGAGATCCCGGGGACAGCCACACAGTCCCTAAATCCGCTTTTTTAGGAAAAATACTGTCAATACAAACCATGAATAATCTGTGGCGCAAACGAGCTCATTATGAGACTTTTGCACGTGTTGACGCGTGAAGCGATGCCTAAAAGTTGGCGATTTTTGAATAATTAATACCGTTGAGGTCCAAGTCTCAATCTCCGAGGCTTATGTTTTGATTTCAAATTATTTGATAGTCGTTTTCATCAGTTTATGCAAAATTATACTGCTTACCAATTTTTATTCAGCAGCTTCACCCTAGCCCAATCGCTTTCTCGGAGCCAGATAACAATATTTTCCACGACTTCTTTTGGAAGTAGCTTCAGCGGGTCCATCTCTGAAAGAAAACAGAGTTTAATCTTTAAATCGCACAATTTTCAGAGAACATTAAACGACCAAATAAAGCCAAAAATCAAGTTTCTCTTCTGAATCTGGGCAACTTAAAGATTCTAGATGACTCGGCGAATTTCAGCAAATTTCACGTAGCCAAATTGAAGCCGAAACCGAACCAAAACTAAACGGTGAAAATTAAAGCGACTTTCATAAATTCAAGCGTTTTCAGAATCCGAATATGACTTCCTAGAACTGGCTCTCCTTCTATGTAGTTCGTAGCCCCTGGCAACGGCCCAGGGGTATTTTTTGTGGCGTAACTGAAGGCAGGCCCTCTCCTGCCTGGCTAATAAAAACCCTTGGGAATCCCGTTTGGATGGAAATTAAAAAAGCGCTACAATGCAGTGGTGAAACGATCGATAAGTTAATTTTTGGGGACCGAAAGGAAAAAGGACAGATTCGTATAGTTGAGAAGGTTGGGAGAATGGCCTCAGACAGCTGAAAAGGTAAAAACCTAGCCTTACGAAGCTAATAAACAAATACCCAGAAAGGTGACGCAAAAAAATGAGATGAATGAACCGAGGGAGCCAACACAGAAAAGATGGCGAAGCATAAAGTGAGAGAGGGAGAGAGAGAGCGAGAGAGAGAGAGCCACAAATACGCACGAAAAATCTAAATCGATTTGAAATCTATGCGGTAAAACGCCCCCCAAACCCGCGCCAATACGTATTAAAATTGGGGGAATCGTACCCTATACGTTTTCTTTATCAATAGTTGTGTATCGGAACCGTATCGCATCGAAACTGTGCTTTGCTTCATAATGCGACAAGAAGATGGACCCTCATTTTCTGGCCCAAAAAAAATACTTTCGAGAAAATTTGATGCTGCCATGGATTGGCCCAATCCCTTGATGGCGATTCACATGGTCAGGCGACCTCCCAGAGATCGAGCGCAATTCATTTTCCGTTGATCAAACTCAAGGGCAGAATTGGGTTGCAGCACAAGATGTGGTCCATAAAAGGGGTTCCTCATCACGATCATCAGCATCATCGAGTCAGTTTCCAACTTTTGACATTTTGCATTGAGATTTAAGCTGATACGACCCTTGATTCTTTACATGCTCCAAACTATGAAATAACCCTACTTTTTCAGCGAAAACCGGTCCCTTAAGAAGACATTTGGCTATTCCTCAGAGCCTCATCGAAGAAACAATCTGAAGACTAATAAACAAAAAAAAAAACTAATTAAAACGGTGTGAGAACACGTTTTTCTATCTGAATAAATCCTCTCAAAGCCACTGTTCTTTTAATTTTTGCAGCCTTTGCCGAGAACACAATAAAACGTTAGCATCCCGCGCCAGAAATACTCTTTTGTGCCTGTAAAATGGCGTAGATCCGTTTTGAGGCCGCTATACGTATAGGCAATGGATCCACCAGCGAAATTCGGCCCTCTGCCCGGCCTCATTCCCTGACGTAAGCAAAGGCGGCTAACTGTTGCGGAACCAATTACTTCCCTTTTCCATTTTTCGAAACTAATATGTTGCGACGTATTTCGTGAATCTACATAAGGACGTTGGATCAGTGAGTTCGCCATTCAGCCTCAAATATTTTCAGTTTTTCCTAGCAATTTTGGAGTTTTTAAAACAAAGAGGTTTTTACCCTGCCTAAATATAGAAAATATTCTATTTCTACTGAAGTGTGTCGTGTTGTTCTACGGACTTTCATTGTGCGAATATAACCCCCTTTAGACCGTTCGAATCCTAGAATGGGCGCCGCTGTCGTTGCAACCGTAGCTGTGATTGCCACCGCTGGCGCTGCCGCACCGGCCGTTGCTGCTGGTAAATTCCCTAATGACTTCAATTGACTTTGGTTCTATTGTTATTACTTAATTTATAAACTCGTTTTTATATACCTATAAACTATTTTGAGGAGCCGGAGCCGGATTTGGTACAGGAACCGCCGCGGCTGGTATGGCGGGGAGTGCAGCTGCCGCGACTGCGGCAGGTATAGATTTTCGACACCTAGTGACGACTGAAAAACCTTTTTTTATTCATAGAGACTCGCCTCGCCCAACGATCTTAGTTCTAGTTCAGAAACAGAAACCATTCAGGAGCTGCTACGGGTGCCGGTGCTGGTGCCATCACAGCAGCTGGGGTCGCTGCAACCGGAAGTGCAGCAGCAGGAACGATCGGGGCTGCTGGCACTGCTGGTACGTTTTTAATTGACTATTTGTGGTCGGTTTTATTGGTTTAGAACATCTTAAATATCCTTTCAATCATAATTATATCACGCTACATAATTTTTAAAGGAGCCGTGAGCGGCGGTCTAGGGGGGACCGCTGGAGCCGGACTACTCGCCGGCACGCTGACCGGTCCCATCGGTTGGGCCATTCTTGGATGCGCGGCCAGGGAGCTGCCATGAAATCGTCCGCGCTTAGTCTTCGACAAAACTCACACAGCTTTAACTTTCACTTCAACTCTCCATTTCTTGTGCAATAAAGATCATTTCGATATTTTTCGTTTCCTTGCCGAAGTTTGTTATTGCAAACCGTCGTACTTTATATTTTTTCAAGTATTTTGCTGGATTATCGAAACTTCAGATGGTTTTGGCGCTGGCGACCGTCACGAGTCCGCCCTTGCAGATCGGTACTTGTGCGGGCAGCTTGATCGGATCAGTCCTTGCTTCAAATGTGTTCCCGGCTACCGTGGGTAAGGCCGCATCGAGCATTGTAGGTTTTTTTTCAAAGTCGATGAACAAAAGCATTCTAGACACTCGCTTCCGGCCTTGTCAGCGCCGGAGCAGGCGCTGTTTTTGCTCCGTTCCTGACCGGAAACGTTGGTGCCGGGATGTCGACGGTCGGGACGGCTGTGTATGGTGCTTTATCAGGTGTGTTTCGGTCAAAAAACCACGTTAGAATTTTATCTACCAAATTTTTCAACGTTGCTTTTAATAAATTTTATTTGCAGGCGGAACCTCAGGGACCGTATCAGCCACCTTGGTCACGGCCGCCGGCATCCCCGGCTTTCTTGCGACAGCCGTATTGGGGGCGGGGCTCCGGGTGGTGAGTCTTTTAGCGCAATATGTGTTTTCACATAAAAGTGCCTCTAAAAACTGGTTCATCCTGAGCTTTTTTCAGATGAGTCGCCCCGCTCCGCCAACCGGAATCTCATGTCGCCCCGGAGAGATGGCTGGCAAGCCAGTAAGTTGCTAAAAAACTGAAAAATAAAATACAATTTTGATCTCTGGAGGAAACTGGCCGTTTTCCTTAGAGCAATTTCTCAAAATATCGAAAGTTACAGATCGATATCCCAGAAGCCGGGGACCCAGATTACACCTATGATTGCTGGAAGGCCATTTTGCACGAAACAGATGATACCCCGTCAACTGGCCGCTACATTAAGGCAAGAAATTGTCAAATAACTGGAAAACTATTAAATTAAGCTCCAAAAATACATAAGAAATGTGA